TGAGCTAGGAATACATATGTCCAAGTCTTATGCAGGTTTCTCCATTCCTTTGGTAGAGATTATTTTTCTCAAGGTAGATCTTCCTCCATCAGCAAGCTCCTGCCGGTTCCCGTCTCTTCTGTCCCTCTGCCTTTCGATGAGTACTGGCCATCCTGACCTTGAAAATCCCTTCAGGCCCAGCTTCATTTCTCACTCCAAATACCTACTTCCTTTCTCTAGGAACTTGTCAAACCTGAGGTCCCTGCAGCTTGGCTCTATTCTCTCCAAGCAGCTCCACTTTTCTCACAGCTTGCTAATCCTCCACTAACTCTGGTCATCACTGACACTGTGGATCATCACCATTCTCCAGGAACTCCCTCCTCACTCCCCTGGCACTGCTGTCCTAACTCTTCGCCTATGTTCTACCCTAACCATGCCTCTTGGAAGCTCATTTTCTTCCTCCAACTCTCTAAAAGTAGAGATTTCCCAACATAGGATAATGTCCTAAGAAGAGGACTCTAGTGAGAGGTGCCTTCTCCTGACAAGCCCTTCAGGCCCTCCAAGGCCAACAGGAGACAAGGCGCAAGGCTGCCATGGCCCATGGCTCTCAGCTCCTGTCAGCAAGCCCTCAACGGTCTATCAGCGTACCTACGGCTCAGCTGCTCCCAAGTGATCTGATCAAGTCACCCCACCCTTTGACTTTTCCTGAAGCTCTTCTGAAAGCTCACTTGCTCTTTGGGACTCCTACTGAGTCCACTGTCCATTCCATCCTTCTTTTTTTTTAATCCGGTCTGTCCCCGGGTGTGCACACCTGTGTCTGCCACACAGTTAGCAAGTCTGCTTCCTCTCCACCTGTCATGTCTCCTCTCCAAAAAACCAGGTTTTCCATACATGTTGACTGGTTGGAAAGGGTGGGGTGACATCCCAGAATAAGCAGCTTGGGTTCAGATGGGAATGAAGGTATTGCCCCTGAATTGTGAAGAAAGGTCTGCAGTTTCCAGGAGAGATGTTAACATTGCTGGAAATGTGGGCTGGGACCTCAGGCAAATGTGACTGATGCCATCACTCTAATCCCACTTGGGAGGGTGCCCAGTGGGACCCCAGAAGTCCACATCCAGAAAATAGACATCCAACAGAAGAGCAAATGCCACTCCACACTCTCTCCTTCAGACCTTTCACAACACTTACCACTGCCAGTCTCTTTGGCACGATTTTGGGGACACAAATCTGTGCTCTAGCAAAAGGAAAGTTCCTTGGGAGAAAGAGCAGTATCTAAGCCTCTCTTTGTATCTGTTTTGGCCACTACTATAGACCCTGGCATCTAACATCTAGCCAATACACGTTGGTTAAACAGAAACATGGGTCTTTATCAAATTCCTGGGATAGGTTCTGAGGATACAGTGGTATGTTCTTGCTTTAAAAAATCTCAGGGGGCAGGGCAAGGGTGTTCATACAACAAACAAATGTCCTGAGCACTCTTGAGTGCCAGGGAAAAGGCAGGCAGAAACACCATGCTTATGAAGCCCGTGCTCTAGACCACTCATGGTACCACCCAGGCTACATGATGAAGGGACTGAAGCCCATGGAGTTCAATGTGCCAATGACAAAGCTAATCTATGCCAGGACTGGGCTGACCTCAGGGCTCCAGTATTCTTGACACATGCTCAGGCATGCACACATGCACACAACATAATTAAACACAGGTGGAGGGTATGCAAGAGAGTGTCATGGCCCTTCATGCTGCCCCAATGCCAGTTCTAACACACAGAACAGCTGCTTGTCCCTGGGAATTGCCAAGCCATCCACCAATGCCAGCTGCAAGGCAGAATGGTTTTTCTCCTTTCTCACAAATTAGCTCGGGGATGTGAATCTTCAGGTTTTAAAGTTACCCCAGATGAACAGCAGGATGGCCATTTTTGTGAGGGCATGTGTGATTGTTTGGAGCTGATCACCAATATCCTACTCCCTGAGGGTCTGAAGGTCCCTGAATGGGGCCATTCACCTTTGTACCATCAGCTCCTTGTTTTCTAGCCCAAGCATCTTTTAGCACCCAGAGTTCTGGGAATGGTAGGCCCAGCCAGCTGGCTCATGCCTTTTCCCAGGCAAGCAGAGAAATGAGCTTCGCCACGGAGCTGATCAAATGTCATCACAGCGCTGCACTTTTGCCACCTTCCTTCTCCCAGCAAGCCCTTTGTTGTGCATTGCATGCTCCTCTCTCAATCCCCAGGAACGGCTTGTTTCTCTAGTACTAGGAAGTGGTAGAGTGTGGCTCTGCCCTGCCTGTGCAGGCAGGCAGCCGAACACACATCTCTCAGGCCCACACCAAAGACCTGCTTCCCACTACCCTTTACTGAGTCACTTCCTCTCCCTAAGTGGTACTGGAGCCCAGAGCTCCTGAGCCTCAGAGACCACCCAGGAGGAGAAGGGGCTCAGGGAGGGGAAATAACAGAAATGGAGTCTGAGTCTTTGAGTTGCAAATCAGGCATCATCAAGTTTGAGTCTTCATCTTCATAGTCAACCGGGCTACTTCTGGGGGGTCTGGGAGGGCTTTCCTGTCAAGCCTGTCATTGGAGGCATGGAAACTATATTTCACAGGTGGCTGTTAAAGGCTCAGACAAGTCAGTGGGAAACTCTAAGATGGGCTTGTCACCAAGGGGCTAGTGACAGCTCTGTGCTCCTAGGGTTATGCTTGAGAGAGGCCAGGTGCCAGCTTACGTCAAAAGACATGACTACCTGGGAGGCCTGGCCAACCACGGTGAGGCAGGAGCTGTGTGCCATCCTCCACACCCCAGAAACAGCTTGGCTGGCACAGCAGGGCTCCGGCACCCAGCATCTGACTGTTCAACAGGCCTGTTTTCTTGTTTAAGTACCATTCTCACCAGTGTCCCCTTCCTCCATAAAGCATCACATCACTGTGTTTGTTTTGAGCAGGAGACTGTGGTCCTTTGCCAGAAGATGTAATCGGAAGATTGATGGGGCCACAGAGGAGGCAGCAAAGCCAGCCTCCTTTGGGGAAGAGCCTCTTTGGAAAGGACCCCCATCCTTCTCTGAGGGCACTTTGCTTTTTCCACTTGGGTGAGGAAAACTCTTTACACTCCAGATTCCCAAAGGCCAAATATTTGCTGTCTGTGACTGCCCTGCCCTTTCCATCACAAGCAGAGGCGGTGGCTCTTCCTGGCTGCTGGGGAGGGAGGCAGCTGGGAGTCAATGCCCCCCACCACCCTGGCAGCCCTGCACCCTTCTTTCACAAGAGATCACTGAGGGTTTCTAAAGAGCTCTTCTGAGGCTTGTGGTGATGTGTTGTGCTGGCACCTGGGGAGGCGCCTGGATGGGAGCAGGGGAGGAGGTAAGCAGGCAGGACTACACTTCCCTGCCAGCTGCGGTTGCTGCTAGGATCTCTCTGGAGATACTGCACAGCTCTTTCCTCCCTGCTGTCATAGGTATCCAGCTCTGCCTTTGTCCCTCTATATTGTCTCTCATATGTTTGTCTGGAATATTGATTGGGCCAAAAGCCCTCTGAAAATGTACAGCATACAAGGCCCAGGGCAACCAGTGGCCCCAGACTATGGTAAGATGTGCCCTGAAATGGCCTGCCCCAGACAGGAGGGGAGGGAAGAGCTCCAAAGATATGGCAGCAAGGAGCCCAGTGGGTGAGGCTCCTCTTCATCCACCAAGGGAACTCCCCAGGGTTTGGTTATAACCACCCCAGTCAGTCTAAGACCTGGTGATGCCATTAGGAAGCACAGGCAGAAAGTGCCAGAGTACAGAGGGAAGAAAGTAGAAGGGTGGGGTGTCTTTTGGACTGGTGGTCAGGAGCCCTGGACTCTAGACCTTTAACTAGCAGTGAGTTGAAGCAATGTTATCAGCTATGAAGTTTGTGGGGTTCAGTGAAAAATGGAGGGGGGTCTCTGTTAAAAAAATATGAAAAATTTCACTGACAGCATCAGTGGTACCTTAAACCAAGCATGGGGTCCCCTTGGACTGCTGAACAGATGGCGTATCTACCACTGAGCCAGCCCTAACTCTCTGAGTCTCCGTTTCCTCAATTCTATAGCGTGGAGGCTAAATTGAGTCAAAGGTTTGTCTGTGGGGCCCTTTCTTCATGTGAAGTCTCAGACTCTTTGATGCCAGAGAGGCAAACCACAGCTCTGCTGGGAGCAGGCTTTAGAGATGGGGTGCCACCTCCTGGTACCACCTGCCTTTTTCCCTTCCTTAGCCACACTTGACAGTATAGAGTCCTACAAGGGTCCCAAGGGTCCTTTGAGTAAGTCAGGGGTCACCACTCAGGCTAGGAGCACAAGCATCTCTAAGCTGCTACAGGAGAAGCACTGGAAGGCACTGGGGAGGGTACCAAAGCCTTGAAATTCCTCTGCACACCAAAGCCTGCTTCTCCCAGGCCCCAGAATGAACTCTCCAGAAACCTCCACAGACCAGGCCCAGTAGAAGCAGCTGGGGATCAAGACTGGTTCTTATTTTCAACCCAAGGCCACCTGGGTGATGGGCCCTAACTTGTCAGGTGCCTTCTATTCTGGCCCTCAGGGCTTCCTCAGCTGCTCTGTCCCAGGTCAGAGGTCATGGCAGATCAGGCATGGTTCAAAGGTTGGGAAGGGCAGGGCCCAGCTGGAGCTCTGACTGGTAATGTCTGTTTTGGGGAAGGAGCTGGAGTTAGTGGAAGAAAGAAGCCTTGACTGGGACAGGGACCGCAGGAGCCTCTGGGATGGACCTCAGCCGGGATCCACACTGCTAGATCTTTCTGTGCTGACTGGAGAGGACTTTAAACTTGTTTTGAGAGATGAGCCACTGTTGTGAGGCCAGGACTGCAAGGGACTGTGTGATGGACCATCCTCCCATTCCTCCCCTGGACTTCAGGGCCCATCTGGTACTGGGGGGCCGGTACCTCTCCAAGGGATAGTCAAAGGGGCGCCCTCCCCCAGCTAGCTCTGGTTGCGTGTGTGTGTGTGTGTGTGTGTGTGTGTGTGTGTGTGTGTGTGTGTATCGGTGCTCCCAGGGGGTCCGCTTACCTTTCATGGTGCCTTCTGCGGGGGCCTCGGTAGGGCCTCGGCGCGTCGCGGTGGGTAGAGCAGGAAGCCGGGGTCCTCCCCGAGGCACCTACGCGCTGCCGGCGGGAGTGGGGCTCGCCGGGGCAGGCATGCCGCGGCGGCCCGGGAGGAGGCGGCGTGCCAGGAGCTGGGTCCCGGGGGTCGCACCTGGGGACGCCCCGCTGCACTGCCAGCCGGAGCCCGGCGAGCTGTGCCGCAGCCCCGCGCCCCAC